TGGGTTTGACAGTCATCTCCCACAGTTATTCTACATCTAAGCAGCTAGTTCCTTACTTACATGAGCATTTCCTATCAGAAGTGATAGATCTGTCAAACTGAAGTGCAGCCTCTGCACTGCAGGAGGACACACACTGCTCCTGGGTTACTTCTGGCCACCTCTGGGTGCAGGGTTCAGCTCCAGAGTCAACCATGGAAGGATCATCCCCCCTCAGCTGTTTCTACAAGATTCTCTAGTTTTAGGAAGCATTAGAGACCTGCCTCCTGCAGAGAGAGACAGAGATCTGGCAGTATTGTCTGTTTAGAGTTGAGGCCTTAGGCAATGATAAACAAGTGGGCAGATTCAGGCTGGATGTGAGGAAGAAGTTCTTCCCCAGGAGAGTGGTGAGACCCTGGAATGGGTTGCCCAGGGAGGGGGTTGAGGCCCCATCCCTGGGGGTCTTTAAGGCCAGGCTGGAGGAGGCTCTGGGCAGCCTGATCTAGTGGGAGGTGTCCCTGCTCATGGCAGAGGGGTTGGAACTGGGGGATCCTTGGGGTCCCTTCCAGCCCTGACAGATTCTGATCTGTTTTAGCAGAGGACTTTAGAGCCCTAATGGCTCAGTGGTTGGACTTGATGATCTTAAAGGTCTCTTCCAGCCTAAAGGATCCTATGATTCTATGATTCCACGTTTCCAGGAACTCTTCCTGTAGGACTTCACACAGAAAACACACGACTACTGACACCATGACAAAGCCAACAAAAGTATCACTTATGCCCCCAAAAACATTCTCCTTGTGCTATTTTGCAATGTTGAGTCAATCTTCCTGAAGAAAGAGAGAAAGAGAGAAAGAGAGAAAGAGAGAAAGAGAGAAAGAGAGAAAGAGAGAAAGAGAGAAAGAGAGAAAGAGAGAAAGAAAGAGAGAAAGAAAGAAAGAGAGAAAGAAAGAAAGAGAGAAAGAAAGAAAGAGAGAAAGAAAGAAAGAAAGAAAGAAAGAAAGAAAGAAAGAAAGAAAGAAAGAAAGAAAGAAAGAGAGAGAGAAAGAAAGAAAGAAAGAAAGAAAGAAAGAAAGAAGTTATAAATTTTAAGGCATGTTATAAATATGCAGTAGCCACATAAACTCCACTTGCAAGAAGTCAGAGACCAGCAATAAGTCAAAGGGGTCTTTTTAACGTAAGTATTTTAACTCCTGAAAAACTCTTTAAAATATACAGGATGCTACACAAACACTGTATATGACAAAAAGCAAATGAAAATTCAAAAGTGGAAAGGCAAATAAAAAGATGTAGGTAAAAAAAGTTAACTGGTATTACTAACTTAGCAGGTCAATCAATACACATTTTTTCCCAATCTTATGGGAAAAAAGTCTCAGGAAACAGATTTTAAAATCCACCTAAGATATACTTTAGGATGGGCTTAAATAAAACACTTTATAAACCACATGTGTGGCCACTATAGGATTTTGCCAAACCACAAATGTGAACTGTCTCACCACATAGCTGAGATGAAGCTATGGTACCAACAGCTCTGTGGGACTTGCAAATACAGCTGGGTCAGGCTGGAGACAGGATTTTTTGTGACCATGAGGAGTTAAAATGACTCATGACATCTCCTGCTATCACACTGCACACACCAGGGCATAAATACTGCCACTGACAAGGAAGGATGATTTTCAGTCATTGGATAAGACAACAGCAAGATGTTGGTCCTCTCATGAAGAATGTTCTGTTCCCCTTTTGTTGTGACTACCAATGGTGATATTTATCAGCCAATAGTGGTGATGAATGCTGACATTGCCAGCCACATAAATACAGCTTCAATCTTTCCCCTTTCCTCCTGACAATGCTGTGGCTTCTCTTTTTATAGATTTGGGGAGGACAAAGTGTGCAGAACAGTCACGACATCAGAATTCAACTTTGAATTCCAAGACTGCAATATGTTCAGCAGCAGGTTTCTAAAAAGATATGTGAAACTGCAGCACAAAAATTAAAGACCAAAAAGCTGGGATTAAAATGGAATTATGTTTTACTGTGTAGTTCAAGTATTATTTTACAGGGTCAACCTCTTAGTGGAACAACACAGAGACTACCACAGGGATACTTTAAACAATAAACAGAAAAGAACTACTGTACTCAAGAGAGGGTTTAGACAAAACTGACTTCCCAAACCAAGCCCCTCTCTGAGCACTTCCCATCCAGCAGCCACCTAAATCCACCGAGTGCCTGCCCTTGATTCAAATTGTGCAGGTGCTCCTGAAATCTCTCTGTGAGCACCTCCAGGAGAAAGGGAAAACCAGCAGAAAGAGAGTGGGCAGCAGTCAGGATGCCCAGCCAGGAGCAGGTGGGTCCTTGCCTGGGCTCCCAGTGCAAGCTGCTGCTTCTGCTTTCCCCTTCAGGAACAAAGGTTCAGCCCTGGAAGCCCAAACCCTGATAAGATCTGAAGCCTGGTCAGTGTGGGAGGGAGCACGTCTGTAGTTCCCCCTTGGTCTGAAGATCTACATGTCACTAAGAAGCAATGCACATTCTCCTTCCTGACAAGCCCCCAGAGGCTTGGTGAAACATTCCCTTGGCTGCTCAAGATGAGAGAGCTATGATTTTTCAGGGAAAGGAAAGAATTCAGAAAGAGAGCAGACAGTAACCCAGGTGTCTCACTTTGTGGTAAGATTTCAAGCTACGAGACCACTCTGTGAAACTAGAGCCCAACTACCACGTTCTTCCCCAGTCCCTTTCCAAAGGAGAAACCAGCACCTGCCCAGCCTCTTGACAGGAGTTCACCACCTCAGGGAACAGGGCTGGGTGGCAACTGCACTGCAGCCCTGCTGTCTGGGCTCTAGCACTAGTACCTACTGAGAAACACAGAACCCCAGCAGGGTGGGGTTTAGGAAGGTACCTCTGGAGATCATCTCCTCCACCCCCCTGCTCCAGCAGCTCACCCCCAGCAGGGTGCCCAGGGTCACAGCCAGGAGGGTT